CGACACCCCGACCTACTCTCTGTCTCTCAGACGCTTGGATAAAATAATAAAATGCATCTGAGGTTTGATATATTTGATGTAAAGTCTGATTGTTAGCCTGCAGGTCCCCAAAACGTGGTTGTGAAATCACGTAACGATTTGTGTCTGAATTATTTAAAATAGGCCTTCCTTTGTTGGACAGTGGAAGTCCTCTTCATTTAATGTAATGGACAGTTCAACGCCGGACTTGTGTGATTTCCGAAGTGGGACTGTGGACACTTTTCTATGCAAACCAAGCAGTGATTTCCGAACAATATAAAATGATCACAAATAAAATAATTACGCTATAAACATGCGCGTCATTGCGTAATCGATCATATTTTGTCAAAGAGAAAGAAGTGATAACTCTAATAGTTGTCAAACAGTCGAAACAGAGAATATCTTCGCTTTTATAACCCGAACTCTATTGTGCCAACAACGCATTCGTGTTTTTCGTGCCATCTTGCCAATTTGTTCGCGTATGCGACGGCCGGACGGTTTTACACCAATGTTTGGAAACAAGCGCAAAATACGGCGGTGAGATGCGCGTCCCCGCTACTGTACGGCGACCTGTTGCACGCCACGCGCGCTCCCACATCATAACAAGTTATGATTCATAAAATAATATGACTTCTACAAAAAATACAGTCCCGGATGTGCATTTCCCTCACAGGCCGCTCGTCGCCGACACAATCCCCTGAAATATAACACAAAAACAACTTACCATGGTTGAAACGATGATTTTTGGCAGCGATATTGTGTAATGACAAGGGGGGAAAAAGCTCAGGAGCTTATGTTGGGTAAGATCGGCTCCGTCTCTCAGCCGGGACACTGGCGCAGCATTTCCCTATTCACTCCCAGGGATGCGCAGTCGGACAGCCGCATTTTTTTCAATTATTTATCTCCGTCGCAAATCGCGTTTCTTTCTCTTATGACAAAGGGTTATTATGCCTGAATGTATTTACTCATAGTCCAGTGGCCGGAGGAGGAGCAGGGCGGTGCAGATAGCTGTACTCGCTACAGGGGGAGGATTATTTTTCTTGGCCGTGCGTGCTGCTCTTCCTCCTCTCTTTGTATTTGTCGGGGCCTGTCAGGCCTGTCTGCGCTCTCTGCGGTACTGTCTGTCTGTCTGGTTAGCTGGCTGTCTGTCTGTCTCCCTGTCTCTTATAATTAATGGCCCTCGCCGCCAGACGGTCCTCTGGGAAACAGTGACCACGGTTACCTCCACATTGGCTCTCAGTGTGCATCTCACATAGGAGTGCAGGCCCGGGCACACACACCTCTGATGCAGGGCTCAATCAGTCAATCAGGGATTTAACATTTGGACAGATGTGCAGGGGGTTGCTCCCCCCAACACCCACCATAAAAAAATCATAATTCATATTTTTCATATTTTAATATAAGAAAATATTTAGTCTCAGTGATACCAGAATTTGTTTTAAATGTTGGATTATTGACACTGCACTTCCCATTACAGTTTTGAATGGGCTGTTTTGGGTCTTTGACTCATAATGTAGAAAACACACATTAACAACTACTGCATAAAAGCCTAAATGACCTTGATTGTCACCCAGTGCAACCATATCCACAGACAATGGCACGTACTTGGACCTCTTCATTATCATGGTCTGGTCCAAAATACTGAAAATATATAGAAATGAATAAAGCGAATAATAGTTCTGCATGGTGTTTACAGTCCCATGATGAGCTATGGTATCCCCATTTATGGTCTAACATATTTGATTTTTTAAGATGATAAATAATTATCTAAACGGCTAACTGAAATGGGTTTTTACATTGAATCTAAATGGTTATTTAGATAAATGGCACAAATTATCTTTCTCCATTCACTTTTCATTTCTTAATTGTGATGGCATATATATATCTACAGATGACAATTCACCCACTGCTACACTGTGTAATGCATCTGTTTTAGAGTGTATCTTGTGCAGGCCAGAAGGTCAGTGATTTGCAGCATAACAGGAGCAGCACGCTATTCAATTTGTCAGCTAATAAAGATGCTGTGGCAGGTCAGGCAGTCAGGTTTGTGAACATCTTCTTGCTTTGGAGAAATTTACTCTATTTTTTATTATCATTATATTGATTGGACTGTTGTCTTATCAACTCGCCCTGCGCACTGCAGCTGACAGATGCTGTTAAGTGTTTAAGTGTGTTTATGCCTTACATCAGTAAAGCCACTAGATGTCTCTCAAAGACAAAAATTAAAGGCATGTTGCAATTAGCTTGAGTAATCTATATTTAAATGTTGTTGTCTACATGATCATTTTAATAATAACATGAACCACAAGTGTAGATAATGCATATACATTTTAAAAAAACAACAAGCAAAGACATTTATATTGAAATTTACAAATAATGTCTCTCCCCAAAGACAAAAGCATCTTCAGTTGGTCAGACAATGTGTGTGTCTATTTAAAGTTGTAGACAGTAAAACCAAAACAATGAGCTAAAACACTTCGCAGAGCTGCAGGGAACATTGATTTTTCTATGCACTATAGCCAGCTCTTTTACACTGCACGCTGTAGACACTGAAGGGTTTGGTGCCCCTTAGAAACAAAAGGGTGTGATGAAGACTCCCTTGAATTAATCATAAGGCCGTCTCAGTCTGGGAAGTGTCTGTTAGCCTGTCCTGAAACTCTCTGAGCTTCATCAGAGGCGTTTTGCAGCACGGAAACGCTTCCACCGTGTCCTTTATGTCCCGCCTAAGGAAAATATAGATTAAAGAGTCTATCAAGGGACTAAGATAGACCAGAGCACTGGTCAAAATACTGGACAAATCCCTGACAGAGTCCTCTGCGTCTGAGGCGTCGTCCCCTTTGAGAGAGCAGTAGAGGTTCCTGAAACTGAAGGGGAAAAACAAAACTGCGTATGTCCCCAACATCAGACTCAGAACTCCCAAAACTTTCTTCCTGTTCTTCGCTTCATGTCTCATGGCTGCACTCTTGTTGAGGGCTTTCCACGTGGCTGTGAAGAGACCCAGAAGGAATGGGGCAGGTAGGAGGCAGATGATGGAGAATAGCAACAAGGAGAATCTGGTTTGAATCATGTAGACATAATCCAAAGTGGAGTAGGTCAGCGAAAGGGTCCATATGCAAACTGAGATCAGGATGGCTATGTTTACATTTTTCTTTGTGTGGTACCACACTGGATATGCCACCATTGAATACCTTTCTGCAGAAATCATCAGCATGAAACCCAAACTGGAGGTCAGGCCAAAACGGACAAAGAGTCGAGCGATGCAGCGGGCCCTGACGAAAGGATGGAAGGTGGCGTCAAAAAACCTACTTATGATAAAGACAACTGTGACCCCGATCTGCATGAGGTCTGACAGGAGGAGGTTTATGACGAAGATCGGAGCTACCCTGTCCTTCTTGAGTAGACACAGGAGAGCGTAGCAGGCCAGGCAGACTTCAGGTAGTCCCACTAGGAATATCACCCAGTCCACCACAATACCTATGATATTTGTGTAATAGACAGGGTCTTTACCACAGAGTAGTGAAGTATTTTCATGTATCCGAGCCATCGAGCTGTTGTTGGACATCTGTAGAGTATCAGCCTTTATGGTTTCAGCTCAGTGAATTTGCATTTTTTGCCGTTTCCCATTTATAGGTGTGCACTCATGGTGAGAATGCGTTACCGCCTTCAGCAGAGAACCAGATAATGTTGTGCTCATCAGATATAATATACTGTGTCACTTCCTACCAACATCCTGACAGAAAAAACAAATGATATGTATATTCAAAATTGCACAAGTGAGCAGATGATGCAAAAAGACAGAGCAGCAGTTTGAATAGTAACCACATGCTAGCTCAAACGGAAACAAATGAAAACTTTATTATTATTATTATTTTTATTATGCCCAAATAGTCACACAGGAACAATGAATGTAACCACATACATGCTTCTATATACAGCATAATATATTCAAATGAGACTATGTGACTTTTACTCCAGGCACGTTTGCCACAAGTCACATTGCACTTTTTAAATCTTGGTTGTTTTTAACCAAGTATTTTAACCGGATGAGGGATTTTAGTCATTGGACATCTGGATCTTAAGTTATCAGAGAAACAAGCTGAGCTAACATTCACTCACAACTCTTCCAGCTTTTCCCAGGGTGGCAAAGTCATGACTCGGCCTACTCCTCCTCTAATTGGCAAAATTGTATGATGTACATTCAACGGACAGACATGAAAGTGGTATTGTGAACAGCACATATCCCCAAACTATTCAAACTATTCCTTTAATCAGTAATCAGACACTTTCATTCTTTGGAGATTCAGAAATTCACATGCACTGTAACTTATACTAATACTTTCATTAATGAGAGATACATGATTCATTTATAATACATAAACATTTACAGTTTATATCAAACTTTTACAGATTGAGACTTAAAAATATCACAGAATATTGCACACAAGTTATTAGGCACACCTTGCTAAAACTAAAACTAATCCAACAACCCTGCAATAAATCCTACATTCATAAAGGTTTTTTGTTGAAACTGTTTTTGAAAGGTGTTGATTCAACTTTTTGATCAGTTTGGAAGCTGCAGTTGGTGGAGCTGTTAAACAGTGTTACACCCATTAGAAAATCATCACAGTATAAAATCGCACAATTCAACAGCATCACAAACCCTACTAAATGGCCATAAAGTTACAGTTTCAGCAAAAACGGAACATTATAACATTCATGAACGCATTGCACTTGTATTAGACTACATTAGTTTCAGCTAGTTTTCGCTTTATCTAATAAACTGACACAAATGTCATTATCTAACTTGAATCCAAAGTATTCAATGCTACAATCGATACATACACTACAATATATTGCACATCTGTTTACTCCTTGATCTCCGACTGCTGATACTACTGATTGCTCCATAATGACTCAAGATCAGAATGATACTCAGACGTATCTTCTCTTGTACACTGCTGCTCCCTCAGCCATGTAGACAGCTTCCTCTCATTGGACTCGCATTCTTCATCAGACACTAGTGGAATATAATAAAAACAAAGCAAACACACAATAACACGTTTAACATTTTGAAATGAATAACCAATATAATTTTCATATAACCAACACCAAGTAACACTTGGGTGTTAGCATGTTAACATTTGCTAATTAGCACCAAACACTAAGTACAAATGTGGGTGATAAGAATATCATTAGTTTTGCAGATATTTAGTCATAAAACAAAGTATTTGACAAATTCATATTTTTTACCTGAGCTCAGGTCATCACCAAAGTTATTACAATTAATCCTAATGGATTGGAATGGATTTCTGTACAAAATCAATCCAAAGATGTTGAGACATTTTACTTTAGCCTCATGGTAGTGCTAGAGGAAAAGTCAGTGGGTTAGAGGTGGGGTTAGTCATTAGGATTCTTAATCTGGGGTCCATGAATATCTGAACAAAAATGTGTGCCTAATTAATGTGTGAAACAATTTGCTTGTATGAAAAGTGTTATATAAATAATACATAAGTTATATAATATATAATATATAAGTTACTCACTATCTGGGGGTTGAGATATGCTGTGAGTATCCTCTTGCCTGACTAGTATCCTCCTAAGGCTCATAATGAGGTCTTCCTCCTTCCCTTTGTAAACATTCTCAAACATCTCAACAAGAGACTCTCCTAGTGGTGACATGGTCTCTGTGACAGCTTCTTCTTCTTCCCACTTCTCTGTCTCATTTGCACTGAGACGGAGGATGCTGTTCTCTGCAACCATCCACTCAATTTTTTCAAGAAGTCCTGTCACTTGGGTCCGATCATCTGACCTGATGTTGAAGCTGTGGTACCTGTTGTTACATTTTCTTAGCAACAACTGGAGGGCGCTGCCTTCACTCTCTATGAACTGCTCCACAGTGGTTCCTCCAATGCTGTCACACCAGCTAAAGAGAACAAGAGTGTGTCTCCAAACATCAGGAGCCAGAAGACTCATGTGCTCCCTGATGGACCTCAAGTGGGCCTTGGTGAAAGCGACGCTAGCGGAGACAACCAGGATGATGGCATGTGGCCCCGGACTACAGAGTGAAACTCCTCTTATTATCTCCTGCTTCACCATCTCTGGAGTGTCTTTGAGGGAGCTGAATCTCAACCAGCCGGGAGTGTCTACCAGCTGGACCATCCATCGACCCACCTGGCTTTGTCGCAACTCACTGTGGTGGGTTCTCTTCCTTTCTCCCAGTGGGATGCCCAGTATGGTGTCTGCTACCCTAGTTTTCCCAGACAGGAACCAGCCGGCCAGAAGAAGTTTGATCTCTGGTAGATGATACATTTCATCTGGCAGACAGAGAAAGAGAGAACAATAAAGAGCATGATCACAGATCCATGATCTCCCATGGATGGGCAAACAGATTAATTGATAACCTACCTTTGTAAGTTTCCCTGAGAGCATCTCTGTCAGCTTTGGACCCCATCTCTCTCTCCTTTGCTTTCTTGTTCACATCTGTCATTCGTCTCTCCACATCTTGTGCAACCTCAGCATCCACTTCAAACAGTTTTCCACCATTTGCAGCCACCATTTTCTCTATTTTTTCAAGTAGCACTATCACCTGTGTTCTTGAACTTTTATAGTTGTTGTTGTTGAGGATGTGGCTTCTTCCACTGCATTTCTCCACAATCCTACGAAGAACCTTCCCTCTCTTTTCCATGTACTCTCCAACAGTGGTGTACGTCTGCTGCCAGGTTCCATACTTCAGCAGAACCAGGGTGTGATTCCATACTCCATCTCCCAGAAGCTCCAGATGCTCCTCAACTGACTTCCCACTCTTTTCCTCCAGTATGCTATCTAAGTCAACAACCAGCAGAAAGGCGTGAGGTCCTGGAGCACATAGGCACACGCTTTGGATCAACGCCATCTTCGTTAGCTCCAAAGTCTCGTCAGGGTAGAGGGTCTTCCACCAACCAGGTGACTCCACCAGAGTCACCCTCCATCTGCCTGCTACCTCGCCATGTCTCACTGTGTTTCCTACAGTCTCATCTTCATGGTCAAAGCCCTCGCATCCCAATATGGTGTTTCCTGTCTCACTTTTACCACAAAATTTTCCTCCCAAGAGGACGATGCGGATTTCTTTGCAACAATTTGAGTTCTCAGTGTCTGTCAAGGGACGACAAGAAAAAAATATTAAGCAAAAGGGAAATATTCATATTCATAAAGTAAAGAAAAATTAATCTAAACAAAGCAATAGAAAACAGTATGACATAGCACAAAGATTTTTTAACTAATTTTGTGTGGGTTGAAGCCTGACATTTCCTAGAGCGCCACCAGCAGGTCAGAATTTTCACATATCCAGTGAAAATGTAAGAACACAAACACACTAAAATAAAGTGGCTGTAAACTCTTAAAGCAGGTGTTAAGACTTAAAACAGCCCTATGTTATAACAATGGTAATTCACAATAAAACTATTAACTCTATAAACTATAAACTCTGTATTGCTTAATGCATCCATGATTGACAGCTTATTAGACACCAAAACACCGAACAGCAGTTTGTAATCATACCGGCGCAACGTTTTACAACTCTGGAAAGACACAACTTGTTGAAAACTGACAAAGTGTTATCAGTTTCATTTCCTCACTACAACTTTTCCATAAATTAACTCCTTAAAATAAATCTTTTTGTTTTACATTAGTCATTTGTTTTAGACCCAGATTCATGAATGGTACTGTTTTAAGTATCTACACTCACTTTGAATTTGAGAACCATTAATTTGACAGTGGGTCTCATTTGTTATAGATAAGCAGTTTTGTTTACAACTTTAAATTTGTTTTGTATTAATTAACGTATGTATGTAAGCATAAGTGAACAATATAAGTTGTATAATAAAGCCTGGCATTTATGCCTTGTAGATCATAAACTATGAGGCCGAACAGGCTGAATTGCATTCCAAACAGATGCACCCAGTTGCCAGTTTATTAGATAAACATTGCTACAACTAATACAGTCTAATAGAACAGAGGTACAATAAATCTTACCTTCATGAGGGTTAAAATGTGCAGTGTTTCGTGAAACCCTTTTAGAGAGGTGTTGATACAACTTTACAGCTATTTTTAGTCCATCCTCATTGGTATAAATGAGATTTACACCAAACATGCATAGTACGATACAACTGCACCACAAAGAGCCTCTGAAATACAGTTAAACCAGCACCTCTCTAGAACAGTTTTAACAAAAGTAGAACATTATAATCCTCATAAAGGTAGGATTTATTGCAGGACTGTTGTATTAGACAGCATTAGTTTTAGCTTGGTGTACATAAAAAATCTGGCAGTTTATAATATTCCTTAAACGATCAAACTTTTAAGTTAAGATAACTCACAACTTTTTTCTTCACCAGTGTCACTTTCCATTTCTCTTGGAAGTTGCCCAAAAAACAGCACAAATGTCACTTTGCATCCATCTCTACTTGTGTGTTGAGATTGGTAAGTTTTCGTTTTTCAATTCCAAAAAAGGTATGAGGAAAGAGTGTTAAAGGAAAAATACTAGCTCCTCCCTCTTAGGTAATCACATAGCAAATTGAAGTAAACATTGCGCACCTGTGAAACTGTACACCTATCACGTGATTATGAGTTGACAAAATCAACTTAAGGTTGTTTTTGTGTTTTTTAAAGGCTATGGAGAAACACTGGCATATGGAAGTCCAATGGCATGAGAATGCCCAGAGACAGCAATCAGGAAAACTGTGACAGACAGAGGGAAAAGGGTTTTTTCCACTCACAATGTCATATATTTGTTAAGTAGGGCCACTGTTATGTAGCTCCAAAAGATGAAGTAAAAAAGAAAAGACTTCACATAGCAATATAAAAACAATTAGTTGATGTCAGAGTGGCTTAAAGGGTGTACAAACGGTTTTCACTAGAAATAAATAAGACAAGTCTTCTGAGAGCAAAGGCCAATTATTGTGCTGTGCCCTTAATGGGAAACATTTACTGCAAAGTTACCTAATAATTTTCTGCAGGACACCTCAGGGTCATGTGACCTCTCTGAGTCCAGTGCCATGGTAGAAGCAGACAGTGGAGGGGGAGGTGACTGTGCTGGGATTAGCCTCCACAGTCAACATTCTGACTGCACACAACACACACGCTTCCCTGATGGCCACAGTCTACAAACACCAGGACACCAACAGGTACGAAATCCCACTTTTGTTCTAGACATTTATTTAAAATTCTCGTGAAATTCAGCTGAGACGAAAACATATGAGTTGGTGATTAAACATGTAAAAGCAGAGCACACGTAGAGTAAATCAGGCCAACAATCTGTCAAGGATGATCTCCTGATCCCCTGTGCTTGGATCTGAGTCGAGTTTACGCTCACCTAGGGTCAGTGTTACAACTCTTTACCCTTACTGTGATAACCAGCGATATTTATATTTATATTTTGATCATCTACTGTAAATAATTGTTTACTCAGTAATTTATATGGTCAAACTTCATCACATTGTCAGTAAAAACTCAGTTCAGGTTATGTGTTAATGGGTTCTTAATTTAACTTCATGGCAGTTATAATGGCCAAGTGTTTACATCAGTGTTTACATCAGGTTGTTTCTGTTATTTTTGTCCACCCTCCCTGCAATTTCCCAGTAATAGTGGTTACATAGTTAAGTAATCTATTCATAGAGTACAGCAGGCAAAAGCCCAGTAGACAGGATTATTGGTTTGAGTGCACAGTTGGAGTGAAAGAAGGACTTCCCACCAGCTCAATACTATCTCTGTCTTATTAGTCGTCATTAGCACTTCTTACATGTAACAGCAGCACGTAACTTATGCAAATGTTGTCCTTCATTTCATGTTGCACAGGCTCACAACATGATGTCTGGTTACAATCACTGACTACAATCCAAATCATCTGTGCCTTTTGTTATAAAGTTCTAGATGTAATTCAATCAATGTGTTTCTGATTCCTCTCCTGTTTAGTTAGTAGCTTTGCGTGACGCACACACACACACACATCAGGGACCCTTCATCTGCTCACTATGGCATCCCTGGAGGAAGAGCTAACCTGCTCAGTGTGCCGAGACATCTTCAGCAAAGCCCACCCCCTGCCCTGTGGTCATAGCTTCTGCCCCCCCTGCATCCGCGAGGCCTGGAGCGACCAGTGTGAGGGCAAAAGTCGCTTTACTTGCCCCCAGTGTCAGGAGGAGCATGGTGAAGTGCTGTGTGATAGCTGTCCTCCTGAGATAGAGGAAGGACAGCCACCGTTGGCTGTCAAAACCTGCTTGAGGTGTGAAGTGTCGTTGTGTGCCGAACACCTCCAACCTCATCTGGAGAGACCGGCGTTTAGCACCCACCTGCTGGTGGATCCGCTGGGGGACCTCTCCCAGCGGAGGTGCCCGACACACTCAGAGATCCTGCGCTACTACTGTGCTGATGAGAGGGTGTACGTGTGTGGTGACTGTCTGCTGGAGGGCGACCACGCTCAGCACAAAGTGAAGGCACTGAGACAGGTGGAAGAGGATCTGAAGGTCAGCTGGAAGACTATTCAGCATGTGTGTTTGAATGTACATGTAAGTGTGTGGTTGCTCATATATGTGTGACTCCACAGGTCATTCTCCAGACCCTGCTCAGAAAAGCAGAGGAGAAGTTGAAAGATGGAGAGCGAATCCTCAAAGAGCATGAGAATATTGATTCCACCATGGCTGTAAGTAGAACTAGTTCAACTGCAGGGGAAATGCAACATGATGACTCTCTCAAAATGTTCTGTACTTGTTGTATTATCCAAGTTATGACTCACAAGGGATTTTAATCCTTTCCAAATATAACCCTCAAACTGACCTCACTCTCCTGATGATTCTTTTTCAAATGGATCAGACGGTTTGATTATATCTCAATCACTGATCTGACAACCCACCAATCTTTGATGTCTGGTTGCAGGATTCTCTGAAGCAGGATGACACCCAGGTGGAGCGACTGGGCTCAGACCTGCAGTTCCAGGTGAAGAAGCTGGTGTCCGCTCTGAGGGAGATTACCAAAAGGGAGAGACAGCAGGTCATAGAGCATGTGCACGAAGACTGCTCCAAGGTGAGAGAGGACATGAGTCAGACGCTGAGCATCCAGCACTACCTGGCCTCGCTGCTGGCAGAGACAGACCCCTTCTTGCTCATCTGGGTAAGACCTGGTGCTGAACAGACACCTAGCTGTACATTGCCAGATTTGTTGAGACCTAGGTCATGATTGGAATTGTATTATAGCTGAGTAGGGTAGCCGCTGTGAATAATGATGATCCAGTGCTCTCAGTTGTGGAAATGAGGTTATCATTTTTAGTTTTAAGTTTAATGTGTCGACAAATATTTGTTGGATTGCCATTAAAGTTTGCACTGACATTCCCCTCCCTCTCAGGATGAAGTGTAGCGCCATCTTAAGGTCAAACTCCATTTGTCCGATACTTTGGTTTATGTCCAAAAACCTCCAAAACGTATTAACAAATGTTAGCATGCTAACACACTAAACTGAACATACTTAAAAATTAAACCTTCTAAACATGATATCAGTAAGTTAAAATTGTTATTGTGAGCATTTTGTCAAATTAGTGTTAGCATTTAGCTCAGAGCCACAAGCCTGGCTGTAGATGTAGTTCTTTGTTTGTCATATGCACAGTAATTACAGTGGAGCAGTCGTTGGCAGTAACACACAAGTAAAGGAGAAAAAGAGAATCTAATACTTAAGATATAAAGTGTGTAGAAGTTAAAGTATAGGAATAAAATATAATACATACAAAATAGAAAAAAATAAAATGCATCAAAATGACAAAAATATATATAAAATAAAACAAGAAAACAAACAAAGCTGAAGAGGCGCTTAAGAAACGTCAGCTGTCCTTGACGCCATTTTAGTCTTGTTTGTTAAAGATTTGGTTCCCCACCTGTGTGTTGACACAACTTATTGTTATTTCCCATGTTGTCTTATGTGGCATATTAGAGAACAATTTTGATGAGTTCTTCACATTGCTGTCAACAGGGAAAATTCAAAGCCCCGACTTATTTTCAGTATTTCTCTCTAACATTAAATATTAATAAGTTTAACACTCCCAAACCCAGCTCATCTGTTTCATCTGTACTGTATGGGTGTAGTTTGAGCAGATTTAATTGACAACCATAACGACTCACTGTCATCAGATCCTGTTTCAAATGTTACTAAATCACGATTGTCCAACTGAACCCAAACCAGCGAGGAGACAACAGACAAAACAGCACAGACTGTAATCTTTTATGAGAAATCACCAAAAATGTAGTTCTAACCTTGGCAGAAAATATAGTGTTAATCTAGTGGTAAGACACTTTATCTATAACAGACAGTTTCAGAAGAGCATGTGATAATGTTTGCATGTTACATTTTTAATCTTTCATGTTCATCATGTAGGAATGTATACGTGATGTGGATGATATTTACCATGCTGTCCATTGATTTGTTGCTGCTTGATTATTATATAGCAGATCAGATATATTAAAAAAATGCTGAGAAGGTGTGTATTCAGTGAACTAACAAATGAATGTATTTGCTTTTCACTATGGTAGACATTTCATCATATTTTAGATTGATTGTATTCTACAGACATGACTTTAAGACTACAAGCTATGGAGCAGAGCCATAAGTATGTGTATGAGTGTTGTCATATATATCGTAAGATCATATATTGTGGAATAAAGATGGTACATATCCACCTAATAAAATGTGCTGGGCCACAGATGTGGATGTTTGAATGAGGATTTAACCTCGTGTTTCCTTTCTTACCTAACTGGGCAGATTCACAAGGACGTTACTCATTCTTTCCAATAATGAATCGTTTTTTTGTGGAGTTTTTCTCAGCTGGCTTTCACTCTTCTTTCCTCAGGCATTTCAATCAGATGACACAAAGTAAGTCCAGAATAAGTCAGTGACACTGTGTGATGTTAGACGTGTATGTGTGTAGGTAGGCAGTCTTTGTTTGTATGTGGGAGATAGCGATAGAGACGGGAGGATGAAATTAACAGATTAATTATTTCACTACACAAGCCTTTAATCTGTATGTGCTCAGGCCAAATGATTCTTAAAATGTGTTCCTCTTGCAATATGTGTTGTGCTCTTGTATTCTAGGTTACTGGCAGACCTGAACAGCCCACTTTTCATCCCTGAAACCGTCAGTGTGGACAGGAAACACATCTTGGACGACATAGAGAGCAAGTATCGGGAGTTCATCACCGCCACCCTCCGCTGCCTCAGTGAACTAAAGAGGGAGCTCTGTGAGTGGCAGATGGGTGACACATCCCATTTATTTACCTTTCTTAAAAGATTAGTTTGTCATTCAGGGAAATTGACTCATTCGCTTTCTTGCTGAGAGTTAGATAAATTAAACTGACTGTTCAAATTCATGGTATCAGCGTATCTAACTTCCAATGTCAAATGTCAAGGATGAAAACATCATCTTTGAAACTGTGATTAAGTATTGTTATATAATTTAAGATTTATTTATATGGAATCTTTTTACTTACGATGAGTGGTTTATCTGAATTTACTTTGTTGTTTTATGTCCCTGTTATACAGTAACCAGTCCCTTGACTCTGGACACTAACACAGCCCATCCTCTGTTGAGCATCTCTGATGATCTTCGCTCTGTGACGCGGGTTAAAAACCGCCTGCCCTGCGCTGCTCACCCTGAGCGTTTCGACCACTGGCCGCAGGTCCTCACTGTCCAGACCTTCTCCTCTGGCACTCACTACTGGGAGCTGGAGGCTGTGGGATTTTGGGATATCGGGGTCTGCTATCGGAGTATTGGACGAAAGGGGAAAGAGGGCAAGGCCTTTGGGAACAACAAGGTGCCTGCAGTAGTTGATCTAGTTGGTAGCACTTAGCCATTTAAAGGTGATTCATGTCAAACAAACAAATTAAATAAATGGGAACCTCTATTTGATGCCAGTGGTATTTGTAGAGCTATGTTTTGACCACTTTTCCCACGCTTCCCTGGCCTGAAAAATTTTGTTTTTCATTTGAACTCTCACTCATTCTCAATCTCAATCAGTATGTTAGGAGATTTTGTTCATTTGTGCTGAACAACAGAACCCTCTTCAGTTGATTAAAATGTTTTTTTAATAAATGTCCAGGTATCATGGAGCTTGACACAGCAGCATGACAGGAAGCTGGCTGCCTGGCACAACCGCAGGAAGACCCGCCTCGCGTATCAAATGACTGGTAACCGAGTTGCCGTCGCCGTGGACTACGGCGCAGGCACCATCACCTTCTCCGAGGTGGGACCATCCTCCAACCTGACCCACCTCCACACTTTCTCCACCACGTTCACTCAGCCGGTGTGCTTGGGCTTCGGACTGTACAAAGCTGAGCTCAACAGCCGCATCTCTTTCATCAAGGTCTGAGGTGGAGATAAGGGAAAGGAGGAGAAAATAATGCTGACAGGCTCTGAGCTGGTTTAACTTAGACAAAGCCATGCCAAGACAAAGTGGTGTTGATTTATAACACTCTGATGGAACTTTTTTCATGAGCCTCTCTGATGTTTCTCTCCCCTCTGATCTCTGAGCTCTTCCTCAAGAAAGAGACAAAACCACGTCTCCCAAAACTGTGATCAGGTGATATTGACGTGGAAATTATTTCCAGCAGAGAAAAGTGAGAATGGAGCTTTGGATGAGTGAATTTGAGTGGATACTGGCAGGACAGCAAATGAAGATTCTCCTTTGAAAAAGGACAGAAATAAGCTTGTTGTGCTTTTTCATTCCAAAAATCATTCCAAATGCAGATGACTGGTGATTTAAAGATATTACAGTTTTGTAAAAGAAGGTTGTAAATGTAACTTTTGATGCCAGAAATGATTTTGTCAGACGTTTTTGAAACTGGACACTAACTCATCCCATCCTCTCCTAAGCGTCTCTACCTCAGTGTGACTGAAATTTTGTGAATACCAAATGATGTCT